GTGGTGTAGGGTATAAAAATCCTGCATACCAAAGACACATCTGAGTAAAATTTTATCAACCTACTTTAAGTCGTTAGGAAGCTCAAGTGATTGGTACAGATGGACGGACAACGCTAAATCGTCATAGAATTTTATGCTGCTTTGTGGAGTCTAAAATGTGTATTTCGATGTGTTACAAACGGAATGACAAACTCAATATACCCTCCATACTATGGCGGAGGGTATAAAAATAGCTAAAAGTTATAGAAGAAATGGGGATGGACTTCTCTATTTGGCAGACTTCCCTATTAATTTTCTAATAAAAAATCTGAGGATTAGTCTATCTTCTTTGGCAGTAGATCCATTAAATAAATTCTATTTATTGAAGACGAGTATACATTTTTCTACAAAAAACTTTCTTAAGGTCTTCTCTGTCAAGAACACCTTTTTAAGCAGATGGAGATCAATTGTATTGAAAGTACTCCTTTGAAATTTTCGCTCTCTAAACAAGATCTTTTTAGGACCTACTAATTATAGATAACATTTAAAAGACTATAACAGGTCGTTTGTAAGTCTTCTGTCTTCAGAAGGCATTTTAAAGAACTTATCTATTCCAAAGATATTTTGTTGTTGCAAAATGGTCAGGCTTTATCCCTTTATTGTTGTTTTTATAAAATCAACGTTTGTTTATTAGTGGAGAACGATGGTAATGTTTATCAGGGATAAGGCAGGGAAGCCTGACCATTTTGCAACAACTAAATACTACGGTATCCCGAACAAACAAGCCACACTGTTCTATCCTAAAGATATTTCTGAGATTTTCTACAGAGGGCTATGTGAAGGCCTTTTCTTGAAAAAGCTATATGAATACATTCGAGAAAACTCTTAGAATTTCTTCTATCTACAGAAGATCGTAATATCTTGGAAGATTTTCTCTCCATGTGAAGTACCTCTGAAGGCCTCTTCTTTAGAGAACCATGGAAGATATAAAATATATTTTCTAAGTCCTCTGTATATTGAAGGTATATTTATTATACTTTTTTATTGTTGTCTATTTGAAGGACCTTTGAAAGTCTCTTCTTCACAGAACCATGTGAAGGTATCCAAGAAATGTTAAAACAAGTAAAAAACCTATAAGTTCGGCCGGGCCAAACATTGAATACCATCCACCATTTGGTACAAATTTGGCAATTTTAAAAAAATTAAAATCCATTCAAATTTGTTTTAAAACTTTAAAAATACCGAATGTAGCCGTATATTAGGGTCTATACGACGACGTGCATACTCAACTTTTGTCATCAGTCTGCACAGACAATTTTCTGTCATAGGCTGTAGTATCAATTACGAACTTCAAATACAAAATTTGAAATAATTCCGTTAAATAATGTCGCTAAAATCATCAAAATCCCGAATATCAGGGGGTACCGTTATATGGCGGCTATACGAAGACGTGAAGCTGCACAGACAATTTTCTGTCATAGGCTGTTGTATTCATTACGAACTTCAAATACTAAATGTAAAATAGTTCCGGTAGATAATGTCGCTAAAACCTTCAAAATAACGAATATCGGGTGGTGCCGTTATATGGGACGCTATACGAAGACGTGGACCTACATAGACAATTTTCTGTTTTAGGCTGTAGTATCCATTACAAACTTCAAATACAAAATTTGAAATAATTCCGGTAAATAATGTCGCTAAAATCATCAAAATACCAAATACCGGTACCATTATATGGGGGGATATACGAAGACGTGGACCTACATGGCCCATTTTCACTACCAAAAGTCCTGCAGATATAATACCCCGACAATTCGTTCGGAAGCTAGAGTGAATTCCACAGAAATCCCTCTATACTATGGTGGAGGGTATAAAAAAATGTAAAAATTATGGAGTTTGACTTTGTTGCAGTTTTTTTGTTATCTCACCCTGTATATCTCCCATTCCAATTAAATTCGGAATAAGTGACGTAATTCGGTACAAAACTGAATTTGGGAAATTATATTGAAATCGGTTAAGATTTTTTCCTAACAGTATCGTTGCAAGTCGAACTATTCCATAAGGTTAGTTGTTCCAAAATTATGCTGTAGATCTCAGAATACATACAATTCTAAATTGTACATAATTCATAATTATAAAAAAATATACATTAGCCGAAGTTAGAAAATTTCCCATGGAAAACCGTTTTTATCTAGGAATTCAAAATTTTCAAATGAATTCAATATTTCTTTTGTATTATGTTTTCTTATTATTAATTTCAAATTAAGAAATAATTCAATTGCATTCCAGTTCAGTTAATTTTTTCCTTTGAGAAAAAAAATCATCAGGTGTCATGAACACACACACACACACGGTGATGATGTGACGCATTACAAAGCCATTTAAATTTATTACAACACCCAACCCCTCAACTGTGAATTATCTCATTTTATTATTGTCAATTCATTTTGTCACGCCGTTTTGTTATTATTTGCGGTTTAGTTTTTTATGCGTCTCGCTATTTTTTTTTTCTATTCACCTATTTTTCATTTGTTTACATAAATAGAGCATCATTTTTAGTATTTTTTTTTTTGTCATAGCTACTGTTATTATAAGTTTCAATTTTCATAAATTTCCCTAATAACCTCATTATGTCATTATTGCAAATTAATTATGCAGACGATAGTTTTTTCTTCTTTCTTTTCTTTGTTGTTTTTTGCTAATTATTGTCTTTATTCTACTGCACACTCATTACACCAAGAGTAAATGATTTGAAAATTATTTTTCTTAACAGTTAATTTCTTGGAGAGTGGAGAGAAGAGCAGTTCTTAGAATAGAGTTCATTACAATTCATAAGTGTGTCTGGATGTGAGTGTGGCAGTATGTCGGTAGGAGCAAACTATAAATGTTTTATTAATATATTTATATTTTGCATTTTAATTAGCTTTTTGTGAGGTCTTCTGTCTCTTTTGCTTTTGTCAGTTTCAATATTTGCTCCAGCTACACATGAATGTGGGAACAAATAGCGACCTATTTCAGAAAGACCAGTTGGGAAACTAAACTTCGAAAGTTTGTGTTTTGGTTTCATGATTTTTATACCCTCCACTATAGTATAGAGAGTATATGAAGTTTGTCATTCCGTTTGTAACACCTCGACATATATATTTTAGACGATCTGCGACCGTCTGGGAAAATCACTCTAGCTTCCGAACGAAATGAAGTAGGTTGATAAAATTTTACTCAACTGTATTTTATGTCCGCATGACTTTTGGTATTGAAAATGGGCCACCTAGGACCACGTTTTGGTACAGTTGTACCTCCCTATATTCGGTATTTTGGTAATTTAAACAACATTATTCACCCGAAGTGTTTCAAATTTGGTATTTGAAGTTCGTAATGGGTGCTACAGCCTATGACAGGAGATTTTCTGTGCAGGTCCACGTCTTCGTAGAGCCTCATATAACAGGACCTCCCGATATTCGATATTTGTATAATGTAAGCGACATTATTCACCGCAATTGTTGTTTAAAATTTGGAATTTGATGTTCGTAATGTATACTACAGCCTATGACGGAAAATTGTCTGTGCAGGTCCACGATTTGTTACAGACCTCAAATAATAGTACCTCCCTTTTTTCGGTATTTTGATGATTTCACCGATTTTTTTTAAGTCTTTCATTTAAATATTGTAATGGCTATGCAGATCCTATGCAGATCCACGTCATCGTATAGACCCTAATATAAATGCTACAATTCGGTATTTGTAAGATTTTAACAGAATTTTTAACAGATTTTATTTTTTGAAAATTGCAATATTCGTTTCAGTAGGCTGAGAGTATTTAAAGTTCGGCCCGGCCGAACTTACAGATTTTTTAATTGCTTATGTGAAATTCGTACTCAGCCAGGGAGAAAATGATTTTCCAAAGGAAAATTCGTATCCATAATAATTTCCTAGGTGAAAAGGATTTCCCATAGAAAAACTCTCAGCCTGGTTGAATGAGCTTTTATACCCTACACCACATAGTGGTGAGGGTGTTATGTCTTTATGCATTTGTCTGTAACATGGAGAAGGAAGCGAGATGGACCCATAGTTACTTTCGAGGATCTTCATAGAATCACTTTATGCATGTCAGACCATCCGTCCATCTGTCCATTTTTTTTTTTTTTTTTTTTTTGTAAAAAAAATGCAGTTCGCATATTTTTTTCCGATTGAGATGAAATTTTCCAAATAATATTTATTTGGCGCCAGAACGAACTCTATTGAAATTGGTGCGAATCGGTTTAAATTTAGATATAGCTTCCATATGTATCTTCAACTGATTTCGTATTAATTGTGCATCAAATAGCCAGTATGAGTCCAAATTACCTGAAATTTGGCATATCCGATCAAATTTAGTCTAGAAGCAAGTACACAAAATTTGGTGAAAATCGTTTCAGATATACATAGCTATAGCTCCCATATATATGTTTCATCCGATTTTGGGGTTTAAAGTTCCTCACATGCGTAATATGCACTCCACAAGAATGATATTGGGTACCAGATATCTTATGGCGCTAAAAATATCTCTGTCAAATTTTATCGAGATCAAATCAGATTTGGATAAAGCTCCCACATATTTACCTTTATCCGATATCAAATTTATTTTGGGTAAAATTACTAATATCAGCCCAAATGGACTGAATTTTGGCAATTCCGACTGAATTCATCCTAAAAACATGTACTTCAAATTTGGTGAAAATCTCTCACCACTGGTACCAGATATCAGATATAGCCCAGAAATAGCTTTATCAAATTATATCGAGATCGGATCAGATTAGGATATAGCTCCCCTATATCCTAATCTGATATCCTCTCCACAACAATGATATTTGATACCGGACATCATATAAAGCACGAAAGCCAAGTTTTTATTGAGATTTTATTGACTTAATTTGGTTTTGCTTTTGATTTTTTTCCGATTTTTTGTTTATTTAGATATATCTGTATATAGAAAGATAATGTATACAGTCTCTCATTAATCTGACTAACTTTTCTTCTTCTAGGTCCACGATTGGGCAACAGATTTCTGTGACGGCACCTGCCTTTGTGCCCTAGTTGAATCCCTACAGACCCGCCCCTTAAAACCAGCATGGAATCGACGACCTGCTAATCAACATCACTATTTGGAAAATGCCACCACTGCCCTGAAATCCATAGAAGAGGATCACATCAAATTGGTGAATATTGGCAATGTCGACATCGTCAATGGCAATGTCAAATTGATTTTGGGCCTCATCTGGTCCCTCATTGTACGCTATCAAATCGGACGCAGTAAATTCCCTCCCAGGAAATTGATGTTGGCATGGCTTCAAGCAGCTCTGCCCGATTGCAAGATTACCAATTTGACAACAGATTGGAATAGTGGTGTAAACTTGGCTGCCCTCTTGGATTATTGTAAGCCAGGGTTGTTTCCACATTGGCGTTCATTGGACCCCAGCCAGAGTATCCGTAACTGTACAAATGCCATGAATTTGGCACAGAGTGAATTTGGTGTGCCCAAGGTTTTGGAACCGGAATATTTGGCATCGCCATGGCTGGATGAATTGTCCGGCATGACATATTTGTCGTATTTCATGAAGCCCGGTGGTCCGGGTTACAATGCCACCATGAGATGGGTGAATACCCAGGTCAGGGAGCAGGTGCAGAATTTTACGGTAAGTGGGGCAAGATTTATGAGATATTTTTTTATCATCATCTTATTCCGTCATTCTATTCAAAGCATATATATTATGGATCAGCGTAAAATTCTATGTCGATTTAGCAATTTCCATCTGTCCGTCAGTCTTTTGAAATCACGCTATCTCTCGAATGAATTGAGGTGTAAGGCTAAAATTTTCCAGACGTGGGTATTTTGCTTTTATGCAGGTTAAATTCTTAAATGAACCTTCATGTCGATCCACTTTTACGATATTCGTTGATCCATATAACGATATTCGGTATTTTATTGCATTGTTGACCGGCATTTTTTTTTTTTTCAATTTTCGTATTTAAAGTTCGAAATGGATATTACAGCCTATGACAAACAATTTTTTTACGCAGGTTTATGTCTTCGAATAACGGTTTTCATTTAAGCGATATTTTTCGGACCTTTTTTGAAAATGTCCAACTTCCTTCCAAATGGTGGAGGGTATTAACAGTTTGGTCCGGCCGAGCTTAGCTGCCTTTTTATTTTATTTTATCTTATCAATCTTCTGCATTTCAGACCGATTGGAATGATGGCCGTGTCTTGTGTGAAATCATCAAAGGTCTGGGTGGCCCTGCCCCGGCCCCAGAAAAGCTAAGCACCGATCCCTTCCACTATGAGAACAACATACGCAAGGCTTTGGATGCTGGCACCAAACTCGGTGTCCAACCAGTATTAACGGCCAAGGATATGGCCAATCCCGAGGTGGAACATTTGGGTATAATGGCCTATGCCGCCCATCTGCAATGGGTGCCGCCCAGACCACCACTGTCCGATATGGTTAATGTGTTTTTGGAAAGCACATCGGGAAGGGTTGGAGAACCAGTAAGTTATGACTTTCATCCACAAAATTATTTTTTATCTAAATTTCTGTTCTCCTTAGACCCACTTCCGCATTGACATTTTGTCCCGAGACATTAGCCTCAGCAACATCAAGGCGTTTGTGTTGCCACCCTCTGGCCACCCTCAACCCGTAAAACTAAATGGCCACGGCGAAGGTGTCTATATACCAGACAAATATGGCATGCATGAAGTTGTGGTGGAAATTGATGGCGATAGCCTGGGTGGCCATTTCTTTAGAGTCCTGCCCCGCTTCATACAGGTGGCCCCACCGGGCATGGCTCCCTGTGCCCTTGGCAGTTTGGTGGAAGTTTTGGTCAATGCCACAGGTGCCCCAAAAACCGAGGACATTCTTGTCACGGCTGTCTCGCCAACGGGTATTTCTCACAACTGCCCTCTGAAAAAGGTGGAAGAGGGCCACAGTGCCATATTTAAACCCGACGAGGCGGGCATATGGGAAATAGCCATTACATATCAGGGACGCCACATACAGGGTGGTCCCTTTACTTGTGCTGTATTTGATGCTTCCGGGGTGTCGGTGCATGGCCTTGATGGGGCCATGCCTTTGAGGGCCCACTCCTTTGAGGTGGATGCCCGTGGCGTGGGTGTCAATGGAGAGTTGCATGTTGACATTGTTCACGACAAACGTTCCCTGGTCTGTTCGGTGGAGAAAATTGTGGACAACAAATATCGGGTCACTTTCATACCCCGACAAAACGGCAAATATCGAGTCTATGTCTATTTCAATGGCTACGATGTCAAGGGATCGCCATTCATTATGCGTGTGGGTACCAAAGGACGTTCGGGCAAGACCCGCGCCAGTCCTCTCCACGACACCAAACATCGCTCCGAAAGTCCTTCAATGCATTACACCTCCACCACGTCGACCCGACACAATGACTATCGCAATGCCGCCACCTCCTCCTTGTCGCGGCGAGATCTGATGAATCATCATTCGAACACAAGTACCACCAACATTGGCACCAACGAACGGCAACGCTCCTTTTCGCCCCAGTACTCCCCCAAACAGGATACCACAGACTATCGCACCAGCTCCAGTTACTACAAGCGCGAAAGTGAGGTAAGTCATGGCACGAATGTGAATACCTTTGATTTATGTTTTTGGTAAAGCGGGGAAAAAGGGTAGGGCAGGATAGCAGTGGTGATGGTTACTGACGTAGGCACAACAATCACATCGTTAAAAAAAGGCGAGGAAAGAAGAAAACGCTTAATTGAATTTGTGTGTTGCATTTTAATGGCTTTAAGGAAAAATTGCTGAATTCGATGTTAAATTTTAAGCCTTTCATTCCGCTGGTCCGGCACTCCAATTGCATGCTAATGTAGCAATAATATTAACTTAAGGGAGAAGTTTTTTATTTACATTTTTTCTGAACACTAACAACAAAAATGTATTCATTCTGAAAATGTGTATAATTTATAAGTATTTGGTATTTGGATGGGAGGAAAAAAACTATAAATGATTACAAATTTTAAGTGGAATTCATTCGATTTTTTTTCGGAGTTTCCCATAAAAACATTATGTATATATGAATCGCAGTTAAGGTGACTGGAAAATAATTTTCCATAGGAAACTTACTCAACAGTTGGATAGAAAATTTTCCATTGGGGAACTTGCCGTTTTGAGCAGAAAATTTCCCTTTTAGGATTTAGCTTATTTAGCCGGGCAAAACAGAAATTGTCACTTTTGGAAATTTGCCATTCAGCCGGGCTGAATAGAAAATTTCCCTCTAGGTATTTTGCCTATTCAGCCGGGCTGAATGGAAAACTTCCCTTTTGTAAATTTGCTTTTTCAGCCGTTTTGAATAGAGAATTTCTCTTCAGGGAATTTGAATATCCAGCTGGGCTGAATAAAAAATTTCCCTCTTGGGAAATTGTCTATGCAGCAGGGCTAAATAGAAAATTTCCCTTTTGGGAAATTGCCTATGCAGCCTGGCCGAACAGAAAATTTCCCTCTTGTTAAATTGCCTATGTTGCCGGGCTGAATAAAATAATAAAAATTTTTTCCGTCGGGAATTTGCTTATTCAGCCGGCCTGAATAGAAAATTTCCCCTTAGGGAATTTGCCTATTCAGCCGGACTGAATAGAAAATTTCCCCTTCGGGAATTTGCCTATTCAGACGGGCTCAATAGAAAATGTGCCTTTTGGGAATTTCGCTATTCAATAAAAAAATTCCCATTGGGGATTTGCCTATTCTGCATTTCCCTCTTGGAAAATTGTCTTTGCAGCCAGGCTAAATAGAAAGTTCCCTCTTGGGAAATTGTCAATGCCACAGGGCTAAATAGCAAATTTCCCTTTTGGAAAATTGTCTATGCAACCGGGCTGAATACAAAATTTCCCTTTTGGGAAGCTGTCTATACAGCCGGGCTGAATAGAAAATTTCCCTCTTGGGAATTTGCCTATTCAGCTGGGTGAATAGAAATTTTTCCCTTTTGGGAATTTGCCCATTCACACAGCTGAATAAAAACTTCCCTCTTGAGAAATTGCCTCTTCACCTGGGACAAATATAAAATTTCCCTTTTGGGAATTTGTCTATCCAGCTGGGCTGAATAGAGAACGAAAATAGGCAGCCGGGGTGAATAGAACATTTTTTTTAATTTGTAATCACTCTACAGGTCGCAATTATGGTCCGATCTTCACGAAATTTAAAATAGAGGTGGGGTTAGGGTCAGAATAGAACCCTATTTCTTTTGGAGATGATCGCCAAATGTGTAGGGGTTGAAATGGACCAAATACTGAAAAAATATCGGATTTTGCAGTAGCTATACAGGTCGCAATTATAGACCAATCGACGCGGAATTTCGCATATAGCTAGAATTTAGGGCGGGGAAGAAGCCTACAAATTTGGGTGGTCATCGGATAATATTTAGCGGGTAAAATAGACCATATCTTCTTTATTGAAAAAATTCAAAATTTTTCATTAAACCGCAAATATTTTAAATCCCGGCGAAATCACAAAGCCATAACAAGGTTACTTCTGATCTTTACATTGATGTTAAGATCCAACAAATCGGATATATAGCAAAATATGTGCGATATATATGTATATCAAAGAAGATATGCTTGAAAGATCTCTTATATGTCGAGAACGGCTGAACTGATTTCGACCGTTCTCATTAATTCAGAATGGCCTCTTGGCAGGAAAGAAAAAACGTCTAAAAAATCGTATAAAAATATCTCTCTAAAGATGAAAATATTGATTTAGTAACATTTTCTCATATTTTTTTTCCATTTTGTCATATTTTTGGCATATTTTCATTTTGAATTAAACATTTGGTAATATTTCTACAGCTAACAAAACTAAGTAGTTGGGATATCAGGATATCATATACAGATCGCATTTATGGTCCGATACTTACGAAATTTTGCATGGGGATAAGATGAGGGTCAGAATAGAAGTCTACACTTTTTGGAGATGATCGCCATATATTTAGGTGTTGAAATGGACCAAAAAACTGCAAAATTGTCAGAAGGTCGTAAATATCGCCCGATCCTCACGCACATTTGAATGGGGGTTACCGGACATTGCAAAAGCCAAGCAGTTTTGGATGGCCATACAAAAATATTCAATGTGTGAAGGAGTTTGCCAACTTTTGTAGACAGTGACTTTTTGGAGAATTCACAAATACAGGAAAGACGCACTTCTGACTATTTCGTTAACGCTGATTTCGTTGAAGAATATAGTCAAATGTCTGTAACTCATATAGATGCGTTTCAGTCAAAAATCAATACTAAATGTTAATATTTTGCCACTTCTGAGAGGTTATAGGTCTTTGGGAAATATTGGTTCCAGATCTAGGAAGACCATTTAAGTGCAACATCTACCAATAAATTGGAAATGAGCAAATTAGTTTAAGTTGCTATTATTCGAAAATAAGAGAATGAAACCTGATGGTTTTCATTTATTATTTGTCACAATATCTTGTGGAATTCTTTCGAGTATCTCGCCTATATAAACTGTATCGTTTATTATAGTGTTGTAGGGTATTCAACGGTCGGCCCCGCTCGACTGTAGCCTTTGCTTACTTGTTTTAATGTTAATAATACAACCCTGCCTAACGTTAAATGCTTCGCTTTGGTACAGCTCACTTTTTTTTAACAGCTTAATAGCTCCTACGCCTGCGCTGTACAAAGTCTAAACACATTCACTAGAACATATTCACATATCACACACACACATACATACAAACCACCATATTTGGCTTATGACAAAGAACATAAATCTGACTCCCACAAACCAAATTAAACAACAAAATTTGAATTTAAATATTTCTCACACATACATACAAACACACCTTATCACCATACTACACATGGAAAAAATCAAATGTTTTTAGGATAAATTGGCAACATCACCCCCACCACCGCCGGCACCGCAGCCACCATTTCGTGAGCGTGAATACAATGATTCACCCACAACCAAATATCTGAATTCGGTAGACCTGTACAATGTAACCAGTTCACGACGTGACTCAAGAGCCTCTAATTTATCGAATGCCTCCAAAAATGATTACTACTATGACAAGGAGAATGAGCTGTACAGCAGCAGACGGAACGAACGTGATTTGAAGTTAGCGCCACCGCGTGAAGATCGCGAAGACTATTATGATTTGCAACAGCAGTCCAACCACCAACAACAGCAACAGACACGTACACAAACACGCGGCTCGGTCTCATACAGTTCGAGATTGAGTCCCATACTGTCCAGTCCCACATCTGATGTAACTAAAAATCTCTCTTTTTGCTCTTTTTGTTTTTCGTCTTTTGTTTGTTATTGTTTTATTAACTAATCTTTAGTGTTAACGAAAATAGTTAAATGTTTGTTGTTTGAACTTATTTTAAGAAAGCAATTCTCCAAGAAGAGTATATTTATTTTCAATATTTTATACCAGATCCGTTCTAGTGAGGTACGGACCCATAGTCCACTGACGGTAAAAACTTCGTTGCCTTATGAGACAACAACACGCAACTTGAGTGTTAGCCCTCGGCATATGTCTGCATCGCCAGTGCAACGTTACTCGCCGAACAACTCGTACATTACCACAGCCACACATCGCATGAGTCCCAGCACCACTTTGAACAAGGTATGTCTGCCATATTCTAAAAAACTATCTATATTTTCCTAATGTCTCCCTCTCTTCTCCTCCAAAGAATGGCTACGAAACACGCACCGTCGAAAAGACCTCAACCTACAAGTCGAGTTCGAACTATGTCACCGATTCTAATATACGTGCCAGCCCTTCGCTCTATGGCACCGCTGAACGTTTGAGACGCACCGAATCACCGGAACCACGTATCGATCACTCGTCAAATGTTCGGGTATCTTCAATGAAACCAGCCTCGGCCAGACGTGACAGTTGGGATGTTATAAACAAGACGAAACACTTGCTATCACACAACTCGCTCGAGTCGTTGGCCAATATGACCGAACAGCAGCTGAATACGGATTTAAGCTATAATCGCCCGGATATTGACAATGAAACGCATCGCAATACCCAGTACAATAAGTTTGCTCTCAATGAGCAGAGATTTCAGAGGGAGAGACGTGGCTCCAGAGATTCCATAGAAGAAGCTGAGCGTTATAAGTAAGTTGAGGTACCCGAACATAATGTCCGGATTATGTTCGGTTATATTTCGGTCATAACCCCCATGAAAAAAAATGTGATTTTATCCGCTTCCAAAACGGACATAATCGCCATAATTCTTTGTTCCTAGATCTTCTGGGACAATGTTTTTCCTTAGACCTTTTATACACATAACGTCCTTTTGAGGTCTTCTATGGATAGAACGAAGAGATAAAAAAACTTTCTTTAAACATTCTAAGATATAAGACATTTGTCCAGGGGAAATATGACCGCTTGTGGCGGCGATTATATTTGAATAGCTGTTGTTGAGTTTAGGGGCATTGTTCGGATTGATCTAAAATTTTTTCGCAGCTATTTATTTTTAAACTGATTACGTTAAAGTTATTTCTTCGTGGACACTACCCCGTTATTTGACCCGAAAGTTCGATACAAAATCCGGGTGTTATCCGGATTTACCAAACTGAAATTTACAAAATAGGTCACATTTGAAAGCCAATAGAAATACCTATCCCACATGTGGTGATGATGACGCTTGTAGCTCCAAAGATGTTGACTTTAAAGTCAAAGATCGGCTACTTACAACAGAAGTTTAGATAAGATGTGGATCGCATAGCCAGTGTTGAACATACTCCAAAGGAGAAAATTTTAAGCCCCGGACGAAGACCTACTACATACCAAAGTTATAAAATTTTGAAAAATATGGATCCCGCAGCTGATGATGGTCACACCCGAGAAAAAAATCTTAAGCCGAGGCCGAAGCCCGGTTTTTTAAAAATGTTAAATAAATATAATTGGAAAAAATCTCAATTTCATAATTTTTATGACTAATATATTCGCAACTACAAGAGATATCAGCACATTTGGCACCATTTTGGAAAAGCAAGAGTATAACCTATAATATAGTATGTGGATCTTAATACCCCATAATGGGTCAATTTTGGACAAAAAGTTTCGATACAAAAACACAAATTTTCTTGTGTTGCTCACGAGCCGGTTCAAAAATCCCATAATTTAACCCATTGTTGGATAGGAATTTCCATTAACTTTCAAATGATGCACATTTTGTACAGTTTTTTAGAACCGGATAAAGCCCGGATTTTGTATTCAGGTCGAATAGCCCGGTATTTCGCCCACAAAAAAAATCTTTGTCGTAATCAGGTTAAAAATAAATACCCCATAATTGGGTTTATGTCCGCTGTTTTCTGGGAATTAGGGCAGATTCCTTTTTGGATAAAATCTACATTTTATTAGAGGTTTATGACCAAAAGAAAACAATGGTCATAATCCGCATAACTGTATTGTATGTATTGGGGATTATGTTCGTGTGGATTAGAAATTGAAAATTTCCAAATCCGCAAAGTATGAGTACGATTTTCCAAAGAAAAGTTTCTATATAGCCCGGCTGAGCACAATTTCCAATGGAAAATTGTTAATTTAGCTTGGTTGAACACAACTTTTGAGAGAATATTTTAGGTCAGCTTGGCTGAACACAGTTGTCCCATAGAAAATCGTTCATATAATTTTCAATAAAAAATATTCAGTTCAGCCTGGCTATGAAGGGTATTTGTAGAAAATGTTCTAATCTGTAATATTTTCAAAATGGTCTCCTTCTTCACAGACCCAGTGCCATCACGGTCAAGTCACAATCGAACAACACTTACACCGACAAATCGGGCGGCTATACACGCACCGTCAAAGAGTCCAGTCAACAAATCGTTACCGAAAGCTCCTCCACTTCGAACGGAGGTAATACCATTGGCGGTGGCGGTGGGAATTATGGCTACAGCTCCTTGTCTCGATTTCGCCCCATAGAAAGTTCTACAGCGACCGCAACAACTGGCATAACTGGCGCCAAAGCTATCCGTGTCCAAGACATACCCAATGGGGCAATTGGTCGCCCTGTCGAATTTGAAATTGATGGCTCCAAAGCCGGTTCGGGAAATTTGGAAATTCTAGTTAATGGTGGACGGGTTACATCGTCCGTCCGTTCGTTGGGTGGTCAACGTTTCATTGCCAGCTTTACACCGCATGAACCGGGCACTCACACCGTCCAAATAACCTTCAATGGCGAAACTATACCAGGTAAGTGAGAGCATGTGCAGCTCAACATTAGTAAATAAAAATTAATTATTATTTTGAAAGCAAATTTCTCTAATAGAAGGTCCTTAGTAATAAGGTCTTCAATTAAAATATATATATTTTTTAATTAAAAACCGATTTACAATTCGCTCCCCATAACTCCTTTTGATGATCTGCATAGAATCACATTCTGAGTCGTCCGTCTGTCCATATACAATGTACAGGTCGCACTTATTGTGTGATATTAAATTTTCCACAAATCAGTTGTTTGGCCCAAGCACGAACCCTATTCAAAATGGTGATAATCGGCCCCAATTTAGATATAGCTCCCATAATTATCTTCGTCCGATTTCAATCTTGTTATGCACCAAAAGTGTAATATTCTTCAAAATAGGGTGTGTGCTGAAACCCGACCGAATTCAGCCTAGAAAAAAGTACTTGAAATTTGAAGAAAATCGGTTCAGATATAGCTTTGTCAAATTTTATCGAGATCTGATCAGATTTAGATATAGCTCCCATATATATCTTTATCCGATTTCAGGTTGATTGTGCTACAAAGGCTAATATCAGCCCAAATGGACAGAATTTTGACTATTCCGACTGCATTTATTATAGAAACAAGTACTTCAAATTTGGTCGCAATTGGTTAGATATAGCTAAAGCCCTCATATATATGTTTCATCCGATTTGTTGCATTCCACAACAATGGTATTCTATACCGGACATCTGCCAAATTTTATCGCGATCGGCTCAGAGTTGTATATTGCTTCGATATATATCTTCATCTGATTCTGCGGTTATTGTTCTCCATATATGTAATATTATCCCAAATTGTGTAGGTTTTTTTTCATATTCAACGGGATTTTTCATTTGAAGAAACTCGGTCCAGTATATATTTTGCTCCAATAAATATTTCCAATATAATTCTTACCGAAGACGTATCATGATGCACCATGGAGCAATGTTATTTGGTAATAGAGGTAAAAAATCCTCCGTCAAATTTGTTGAAAATCGATTCAGAGTCAAAGCCAAAATACGCATTTAAATATGGTTCATAGTTGGTATGATCTACCTCACATAAATTTCCAATATAATATATTTCTTTTTACGGAAGCCCTACTAAATGCGCAATGTGGTGTAGGGTATCATATAGTCTGCCCAGCCCGACTTTTAACCTTTGCTCATTGCTTTGTTCCTAGATCTGTCTTTCCTTAGACCTTTCATACACATAACGTCCTTTTGAGGTCTTCTATGGATAGAACGAAGAGATAGAAAAATTTTCTTTAAGCATTTTAAGATATAAGACATTTGTCTCAATTTGCTCTATAGTTAGTAGATTGAACTCGAGGCTTCTACATTGAAATCATTTATATATAAAATACCACTTCGAGGTAGATTACCTTTTTAAAAAACATCTAAACGTATAAGACTTTTTTAACTTCTCTATACTTCAAATACTAAACAATTTTTTGATATCATATGGAAGACTTTTTCAGACTTTGAAGGACGTTCCTAAGGTTTTCCACGGTTAGAAGATATTTTCGGAATACCTCATCGCTTTGGAGCATATCTACAATATTGGACCACTCGTAAAGCATTTAATATGCATATGAGTACTTTTATTTGGGTTACAGTTTTATATAAACAAGTTAGCAAAGGCTATGGTCGTGCGGGGCCGACCATGTGATACCTTACAACACTACAATATGTTCTCAATTGGTAGAATGGAAATTTAGTACTTTTCACACAAAAGAAGTGGTCCAATCTATCCGCTGCCCTAAACTTAAACTTCCTGCGAGATTTCGTGTCCTTTTGTTTCTATTGTGACCTTTATAACGGCTGCAAAATCAAAAACATTTTTAGTAGTTGGTCCTTTGCAACCCCCAACATTTTTGCGTACTTCTTTAAAAACGATAGGCTTGGCCCTTCTGAGCCTAACCCTACCCTCATGAAAATTTTCGTAAGGATCGTGACCAGGGACATTTGCCCAATATTTACGCACTCCGTCGTGCTGTTAGTTTTTGTGGTGCATTTTACACCTAAATATAATGCAATGGTCATCCCAAATGCTAGAATTTTTTCTGTTCTCAACTCTCTTCTATGACTTGTCGATTGGCTTCAATTGTATGGTCAGGAAATTTTTTCTGTTTTTGGTTCATTTGCTCTGTTTTCGTTAATTTAGAATTGAAAAAAATCGCATGCGATAACAAATATAAAAAAATCAAAAAAATGTCACAAAATACTACAAAATCTATATTAACATCATTATTGACATCTTTTTATGCGACTTTTTTTTTAGATTTTATTCTTTTGTCCCAAGAGGGCATTCTGAATTGACAAAATTTGTCAAAATCGGTCCAACTATGCTTGAGATATAAGCACTCCGGCTAACATCCCTTTCCTTTGTATATATACATTGTATATATATTTTGCTATATATATATATCCGATATATTTACCATCGGCATATACGGTCACAATTGACCTGTTCGTCTATTTGTGATTTCACCGGGATTAAAAATATTCGTGGTTTAATGGAAAATTTGACTTTTATTTAACACAAATGTTATGGTATATTTCACCCACTAAATATTACCCGATGACCATTAAAATTGGAAGTTTTCTCCCCAGCCCTAAGATCTAGTCTCATGCTAACTTCAGTTGGTCTATAAATCAGCCTGTAGAGCAAGTGCAAAATCTGAATATTTTTTTAATTTTTGGTCCATTTCCAATTCTAAATATTATGCGATTCTGGCCCTAGCCCACTTTTATTCAAAATTTCGTGCCATAATTGCGATCTGTAGAGTGATTAAAAATTAATATGGACAAATAAACGGACGGATTGACATACATAGCTAGATCGACTCAGCTCGGCGAGATAGGAAGATCCATATATGCTTTCCTATATGGGAAAACAATATTTCGAGGTGTTACATAATTTTTGGCCCAATCAAACTTGTAATACTCCCAACACATAGTATTGTAGGGTATAAAAAGCCCATATGTTTGCAAACGTTACAATCCCACGTTTTATACCCTACGCCAGGGTATTATGTCTTTGTGCATTTGTTTGTAACGGGCAAAAAGACCCATAGTTTCTTTTGATGATCTGCATAGAATCACTTTCTTTTTGTCCTCCGTAGCCGTATTATGCACTCTGTAACAACAATATTTGGGGAAATATATCAAATACAGCTCAGAAATAGCTTTGTTAAATTTTATCGAGATCGGGTCAGATTTGGATATAGCTCCCATATATAACTTCATGCGATTTACAAATGTTATGGAATTTGGCACTTACGACCGAAATGAATCTAGAATCTAGTATGTCGAATTTGGTGAAGATCGGTTCAGGTATAGCTATAGCTCCCATATATATTGTTCATCCGATTTGTTATATTTTTTACCCACAGCCGTAATATGCACTCCGTAACAACGATATTCAGGGAAACATATCAAATGCAGCCCAGAAATATCTTTGCCAAATTTTATCGAGATCGGTTCCGATTTGGATATAGCTCCCATATCTATCTTTATCTGATTTCAAATTAATTGTGCGCCAAATGGGCAATACAAGTCCGAATTTAAAAGATACAAATGTTTCGGCATATTTAGTCCTCTGAACTTTAAATTATAATTTGAATCATAGCGTGTATGATTGAATTCTCTCAATAAAAAACTTTTAAAAATCTACTAAATTACCAAAGTGGTGTAGGGTATCATAAAGTCAGCCCCGCCCGACTTTAAGACTTTCTTTCCTGGTTTATGATGCTCACTTCTTCTCACTTCCTGTGCTTTCACAAGTATACACATTTCGAGGTGCTCAATAACTCAGGTACTACCATCTATAACGCTTAAAATCAGTTATGAGTGAGAAGTCCCTTAATGAACATTTGCCCCGGTTTGATATTGTCTCCACATAGTAATACCGTTTCAGACCGAAAATCTTTTATATTTCTGCAAAAATATTTTAACATTTTTATATAGCTCCTATATAACTGTACTACATACTATATAGTTTTTCAACCGCTTTGGACTTATTTATAGAACGTTCAACAAAATCACGTTCACAAAAATTATAAACATATCCTCTACATTTCATACCTCAATCTTCACCCATTGAAACAATATTGTGTGTTTGTCACAGGTATTCCATTTTAGCCACAAAGGATTAAACTAATTATTTGTTCGCATCAAACAAGTTGTGTGTATTCGGTCGGTCTTTATCATAAGTAATGACAGTAACCCCAGTGGTGCTCAAATGTTTTATTCTAGTCCGTACACAAACCATCGACAATGTGTATTTATCTAATTTTTCACCTTTATCTTTTGCTTCATTTCGGCGTTAGCATTTAGCATGGCCACAATCCATAGTTGCTCTCAAACTGTGCGTTTAAATTCGCTTGACTTTGTAATTCGCCTTATAAACAAACAAGTATGTATCTCAAAGATACTCTTTTAAAATGGCAAGATAATTATCTATAGTTGTAACATTACAGTATCCGTGTATACACATACAAATACTTGTTGAGTATCTGCAACGTTTTTAGTGCCTGAAAATAGGTGTGGAAACCCCAGCGTCAACAGGTGTGTGTTTGTGTGTCGAAGAGAACGAGGGGAACACTCTTTATTAATTAGGGCTTAGTCACCAGGGTGAAATGCATTATGGCAGGAGGGGTGGGCCGAAGAACAGATGCTTCATATGCAGTTGTGAACGATTGTTCCAGAGAAACAAATTATTATTGTGGTTGTTGTTTTTTTTTTTTGCTGCTCTTTGATTCTCTCTCTCCTGAGTGGTTAAGGTGTGTTTTATTCTTTGTGTAGATAAAAATGTGATCTTTTCTGGCCAAGTGAGCATGTGAGAGTCGAAAGCAGAGAGAGAGAGAGAGTATCCAACTCGTATTTTTATTGTGGGCAATACAGGCATGCTAAAGCAAGGCTTAAACTTAGAGCCGGCAGTATGAAATCGCGTTTTTAACCAAACTGACACGTCAACGGAAAAT